AGACTGAAGATGGGAAAATTAAACTCCCTGCTCTTATAAAAAATATTCATCTTTGATTTGCCTTCTACGAAATTAATGTCCAACTCTAAATAGTTAACATGAACATCATTATTACTGCATCTTTCTATTTTGCAAGTTCTTTTTGATATATTGTTTGTTTGTTTTGAATTTTGGCACAAAGCTACACGAGGGCTATCTGCGCTAGCCATCCCTAATTTAGCAGTGTAAGACTAGAGAGAAGGCAGCTAGTCATCACCACCCACTGCCAACTCTTGGGCTACTCTTTTACCAATGAATAGTGGAATTGACCATCACATTATAATGACCCCACGGCTGAAAGGGCGAGCATGTTTGGTGGGATGGGGATTCAAACCCCATGACACGCAGATTGTGAATCGAGCGCCCTATCCATCTGGCTATGCTGGGCCTGAAGATATTAAAAGAAATATCTATTTTATATTGAGATAGATTTAAAGTACTTAATCAATTTTTTATGGAATTGATGAAATATAATTTCCATTCGAAATAAGAAACACGGAGGATAGTAATATTTTTTGCTTATTTTGATAATATAGTTATCAGTTTTCTTTTTCCAAATCTTTTAAGATTTCACATATTTTGGCCTTTTTTAGAATTCTGAAGCTAATGCCTTTCTCCAATATTCATTGTAATTCCTTGTCGTTCATAGCCTCTAAATAATCTGTAACTATATATGATTGTGAAAAGGATCCTTAAAATTATTATTGTTACAGTAACAAGGAAATTTATCAACTTCTGTTGGATTAAGTTCTTCAATGATTGTTTTATAGTTGAAGATAAGAGGTCCTATATGTTTATTACACTTGAAGCTAACTATAGGCAGAACTGAGTTAATGGGGAAAATATTTTCTTGAACACTTTTCTGGATTCGGAAAGGTAGAGCTAAATAATCATATAATTTATGTTTTATAACAAATATGAAAATATTTAAAAAATAAACTTTTGACATGGAAAATACCTTTTTTTTTTGTCACTAGAGGTCATTAGCTACTTTTAAGTAGCTAAATTTAAAACTATAATTTTCTTCAGTATACCGGGAGGGAAATACTAACTTCAAGTAGATGGGCTTGTCTCAGCTTTCCCCTGTTGTACTTGAATAACTTTTGAAGAAAAAGGGAGGAGGTTGGGAATATGAACTACATACAAAATATACAGTTGTAGTTCTATTTAAGATCTTTTAATATTTTAATTTACTTCTTTTGTAAGGTTGGAGGTTGAGAGTTACATACAGTACAAGTGTTAGGGTGGTTTCATTTCTACTTTAAGAATTATAAGAACTTTTAAGGGTAACTTCCTTCCCAGAACTGGCTGCAGGCAGTAAAGGGCATTAGGAGTTCAGATATTGTGGGTTTAAGCGCTCAACTCCATACCCTTAATTGATTTTCCATGCTTGCTGGCTAGTTTAACATCAGTATTTGGATTTTGTCTGGTAGATGGGATATTCCCAACACATTTGGGAGCTATTACCACGGGTATTATCTGTTATGACTTTAAGGTGACAACTAGGATTGACAATGGATTCTTTACTAAAATATTCTTAATGTTTATTTCATGTATATATATATTTATATGATCCATATTAAACAGAAATCAAAGTAACATATATAGGGCAGTATTTGTTTATGATTAGTAAATTATAACATTATCACTAACACTGTACTCGTACACTTTTGCTCTGCATATCTTAATACCTAATTCATTTTCTCATACACGAATCATAATCATGAATGATTTGATATCAGTACAGAATAGTATTTCAATTAATGTAGTCATCAGTGTAATGAACTAGATTTTGGAACATTATCAGTGATTAATTACAACATAAACGTTTTATGAATATCAAAATGTTAATAATACTATTTCATTAACCCTTTCTGAACTTGATGGAGGAGGTGAATTCAATGCCATCCCTTGATTTTTTTTATCCATCTCACGGTGGAAGTACTTAATCAAATTGCATAAAATGTAATAAAGATTAAATCTAGTTTCAGCTTTACAAAAGTCATAGAATTTGATTTATTTCTCTATCAATTTTTACTTTGTAAATTTTTAGAAAGTTTGCTTTAAAAAGCATTAAAAATGCTTTTATTGTCTTGTGATTTCAAACTTTTTTAATGTTCATGAGAAAGTTCCATTTTATATATAAAATCAGTTTCATCTTGAAAGATATTCATTAACATATTTCTTTTGATACTTTATTTTGCTAGTAACACTAGTCACAAGTTTCAGTTATAAATTGTATAAACATGGGATAAACTGTCACAATAGCTTCAGGTCAGCTAAACTAGCGAACAGTATTGTTGGGTGAAATCAATGTATATTTTATAATATAATTTATTTTCAATAACTAGTAAGTTAATTTCTTATATATGTTGGTCACGATAAACTTAATGATAATTTTCAATAAATGAGTATTTGACTTATCAGAATGTTTTACCATTGCCTAACACACACTCTAAACCTAACTAGGCTTACCTGATGTCTTTTCATAGAATAAAATTTCTGTAGCTTTCAAACAAATATAATTTAATACAAAATCATTATCAGAAATCCAAAGAACATCTAAAGAAACTGTAAAAAAATTCCCAGATCAGTGGTTTCTTTCTAAGTGTTATAAACTTCCCATTAAATTCTGTCATTCTTCTCTGCAGGAGCTATATCTAATCAACTTAATAGAAATTGTAAATCGTTTCTTAAATAGACTAATTTAGTTATACAGCATTGATGTAAGTAGTTTATAACTTCTTCTATCCAGTGGTTTTAAAATTTTCCTATACCTGTTTTCAAGTCTGAGCATCATTTGTAGTTGTTAACCACATGACATACTATGAAGCTGTAAAGGATGTGAAACAATAGACTGTACTAATAAAATTAGAAAAAAGAGGAAAAAAAGCCCTATAAAAATAAGAGTTGGAGAACTGTGTTCTCAAGGAGTGATAGTTTCTTAGCAAATATAAACCTATGCTTTTAGTTGAAAATAGAAATATGTTGCTGTATGCACAATTTATTGTTCCAATGTATGAAATAAAGATTTTATGTGTATTATTAAGAAAAACATTTTTTAATTTAAGAAAATTGACTGAAATTGTTCAGTGAAAAGGATATGGCTATTAATCAATAGCTTGTTATTTTTTAAGTGATATTAGTATTACAGAATTTTGAGTTGATTTTGCTAGTTACTGTTATGTATAGATTAAACATTATCTGTTTATAGGTATGCAGTGGTCTTAAATGCACATTATAAAATTCTTTACACCTCTTAAATAATCTACCATTAAAAAAATTGAAAAACATTATCCCCTGACATTGCTAAAGCAACATAGTAGAAGTACATAACAACCACATACATTTAGTGTACTTCAAAAATAATATATACAATTCATGTTTAAAGAGAAATCAGCATTTATGCTTGAAAGTAGCTTTATTTTGAATTTTTACACTGGTGCTACTTCTTAAAGATACCATCATTTATCATACTGATACAGTTGGAAAAATTGTCATTATTATGCGTACTTGCATGAAGGAGAGAATATTCCACATTTAGGTATAGAGACTGGTCATGTCACAGAGATCTCTGTAGAGGTAAAGCAGAGACAATAGTCTCTATTCTAGACTCATATTAGAAGTAAATAATAGCCACATACATTTATTGCACTTCAAAAATAATAGGTGCAGTTCATGTTTAAAATGAAATCAGTATTTATGCTTGGAAATAGCTATATCTTGAATTTTACACTGCCACTCCTTCTTAAAGATACTATCATTCAACACTGATACATTTGGAAAAGTTGTCATTATTATGCACAATTAAACTAAATTATGAGTGATTTAAAACACTGTAAAGTATAAAACCTCAGTTTACTCAGCCTTTTGGTTGCATGAATAAACTATCAAAACTTACAAATTAAATACAGATTGCAGGAAAATAATTAAAGTATGTATGCCAAAAACATAAGTAAGGAATAGTTACTCAACATTCTTTGAGAAGTACAACTTTGTTGATTATCAGTTGAAAATCGCTTTACCAATAGTTAATTAAATGTGTTCATAATACATGCTTGTAATGACCACTATTCCATACTGAAGCTGACAATTTGTGACACTATTAATTCTGTCAGTATACTATTAAGCTTTAGGTCTGTGTCATAATTCAATGAGAGGCCCATGTAAGTAACTGTTTAAAACAACATCCATGACTAAGCAGCTCACATTGCAAGATAGAGATTTGGGCTTAATCTACAGCAAACGAAATGGATGTGGCTGTAAAGTATTTTAAGTACAAAATTGTCTGAATATGCCCTTAGCCAAGATATGAGTTAGTTACTCTAATAAATTTCATCGAAATTAGTTTAGCTAGTTCCTTGCAGCAATTTGTGATATCAGATAGACAGATTGGCAGAGAAGGTTGTACATGATTGAAGGTCTCGTTGGACTGCATTAATTAACCTTAGAGTTTTTGGATCACGTTTTGAACTAATAGTACAGTATTTTTTCTATGCTCTAGCACCTCAAAACATCATCCATAAATATATAAAGTAGGTGCAGTTCACAGAAGTCTTCAATCAACTTAGTTCAACTATGTATTAGTTAGCTTAAAGACAGTATCCATGAGGGAAGTTGAAAACTTGCCCAGTGAATATTAAACATAATGATATAAATGCAATAGATTTTTTACCATTTTTATAATTGCTAAATGCTATTAGTGCAGCTTTTTTATTTATTTTTTGTGAAATTTTCATAATTTTCTGTAGTCCCCTGTGGAATAGCCCTGCATATTTCAATGCTATTGGTATATCCAGGTTAGTAGTAAAAGCTTAATTCAGCTCTAAATTATAGCATTTATATATAATTAAGCTGTTATGTCCACTAAATTGTTAATGTTGATTATTGATTAGTAGTTTTTATTACGTTTAATTTAGATTAAGCTTTGATTTTCATAATATAAACATTTGTTATTTTAGGTGACTTGTGTTGAAAATAAAGGTGTTAAATGCCCTGCTGTTGGAACAAAAGTAGTCCCAAACTACACGCTACATCTCTATCCACCTGTTATCATACACAATGCACTACCATACACCTTAGAAATTGCAGTGACAGTAAGTGATTCTAAGTAGATTAAATACTTCACTTTTAAAATGTATACCATCTGGAGAATAGATCATTTTGGTCCACACTCACTGTTTCATATAGAAAGATGTAAATGTATTTGTATTCTATTTACTTTATATTGTTTTCATGACAAATTATTTAATATTATATAAATTAAGTGCTGTACACTAGTTGTTTGGAAAATGTGTTTTGTATATTGGTGAAACTTTTTTGATATTTATGTGTGTTTCATAATATGAAAAATTTTTTTGAAGGGTTTATTATCCTTGTAATATACGTACATGTGCAATTTGAGTAGGTGTTTTTTGATCATTGTAAAAAAATTTAATACCTAATATCATTCTTTCCTGTGAAATGTTTTTTTGGTAGAAAACTGGTGATCTTTTGGCCTTACATGAAGGAGAGAGTGTCCCATTATTAGATATAGAGCCTGGTCATGTTAGAGAGATCTCTATAGAGGTAAAGCAGAGTTTTTAATGTAGACTCATGTGAAATATTAGAAAGTAACTATTTAAAAAGCATCAAAATATTTTCCTCAAATTACATTTGCTTGGTTATCTTGCAAATAATTATAGTTTTACTAGTTTTTATACTATTCTAACATATGTATACAGGTCTCAGAAAATAACATTATATTAAGACTTGAGTAGTAAATCAGTATATGTTGTTTTCATTATTTTTTCTTACTTTACTTATGTTTTTTGATGCATATTGGAAAGTTTCAATTTGATTAAGTTAATAAGAAAATTGTTTGTTCATAAGTTCATTGTAGATTCTTTTTGATAATTAAAGTTAGCTTTAGTTAAGTATCAAAAATTTGGGACAACAGCTTTAATCTTTTGCAGTATTAATGCTATAACTGAGCTCATGATATTCAAAGGTGGAATTATCCAAGATGCTTAGAAAACTGATTTGATTATGTTTTAGGCTCCAAATTATTTGGGAGTATCATGGAAAGGGAAGCTGGAATTGTCTGCAGATACTGAAGAACACCACACTGTGTTAATGCAGCCTGACATGGACATAGATGGAAGCAGTAAACAGCTGGTTCTGAATGTTCATCTTAGCCATCAACATGCACTAGATGTCTACATCTATGCACCTTATTGGGTTGTAAACAAAACAGGGCTTCCTGTTCAACTCAAGGTAACAGAGATTTTCATGTCCAAATAATTGTGTATAAACACACACATATTGATTTAGTGATGTATTAATATGTCTCTCTCTTATAGGCTCTATTCTAGAAGTATTATCTTATTTCATTTTATTCATGAAGTAATGTAGAAAATAAACATGAAACCATGAACAACAAAGCTACTTTACAAAATACGTGAAAATAAATTGTTTCATTTTGAGTTTACTTTCTGATTATGAATATTATTTTGTTGCAAGTTACAGCTTTTACAGTAAGAAAGATAATTTTTTTAGAACACATATGGTGTTTCGATCCTGGTGCGATCATTCTCAAGTACACAAGTTTTAATGGCAAATAACTTTTTTAGTATATAAACCAATGTTCAACAATCTAACAATGTATTTAAGTTTTAGAATTTATAACGGTTACTTATGCATGTGTATATCATCCCAGGTGAATTAACAGATTATTTATTTATAGCTGAACAGAAAAAACAAAAATTGAATAAGTAAGAAAATATGGAAACATTGTGTGAAATATATGCATAAGATTAGGAATGTCTGGGGAAATAATGATCAAAAACATATAAAGATGTGCCTAAGTATTTGTTAATTGTGGGGTTTGATTTTATTAATAAGACTTCTCTGATTTTTCTTCTGTTAATGTCAGGTTCATGTTCTAGTAAATCTGCTAGACATGCTGCCCCAAATGGGGAAACAACTAAACAAATACTTTATACATATTAAACCTTTATTGAAGAAGAAACATATTTAGATGAGCTGTACTGGGACTAATAAATTCATTAATAAGTTGGGGCAAATCCAATTCATCCACATTGTTCTTCAGGATATAGAGACAAACAAGATGAATCATGCAAGACTGTAACATGGGGAGGAGCAAGTAACTTTTCAGCTTTCTTAGGGCAGAAAATGATCTCTCAGCAGTACATGTAGTCACTGGAGCCACCATATAGATTTTGAGCAGGGTTAAAACTGATAAACAAATGTCCTTAAGCACAGGGTATTTGTGCTTTGCTTCACAAAAATAATGTATGTAAATCTTTTATGAACAGTAGCTGTAGATGATTTTGGATGTTCATTTAAAATTCATGTTGCTACTCCTCATTTTTAACCTTTCATTGTACTGGCTCTATCATAATTCTGTGCACGAGCTTGATTAATGTCTAATCCACATGATAATAGTCCTTGCTTGATTGTATTTGTAATGTTTTCAGCTGTCTCATTACTTTGAACAGAGAATGCTATCAATTTCTCATATACATTTAAATCATCATTGACATATCTCACACACAAGCTTAATTGCTTCTGATATACAGTCACAAACTTCATCACAAATAATGCCAAAAAAAAAAAGACTGTTATTAATTGCTTCCACAACACTACGGAGTACATTATGAGCTTTGAATTCCATGATTTTATTCTGTGAAACTTAACTGCAGTATTTATTACAGACATATGAAGAAAAATATGTATTAAACTTGGGGTTGTGCTTTGATACCAGATTCAACAATTCCATAAAGTTACCTTCATGTGCCTCAGTGCCCCTGTATGCCAAACCTTGTTTTCCTAAGTATATAATAGCATCAAAAATCACCTCAAGTGCCTTCCTACTTGCCTTCTGTTTTTTCAACTTCTTTGTTGCTAACACACTTTGCTGTTGCATCTTGTGTTTCAGTATTGATTTTTGTGGTCATGCATTCTCTATGACTCTGACTTCTGTCATGCTTTTATAGACCATTATTGCCCTTTCTAAGATCATTCCATCATATTACCCATGGAGATATGGAAACTGAGGAATTCTGAGGTGGAAGTAAGTAATTACTTTGCATGGCCCATGTACATACATGGTAAATTATATCATTCATATCACACCTGTATTCAACCCATGGGAAGAGGGTTTTCCAACTTTCTGGAATATTCGGCTTTTTTGCTGCTAGTGTTTTTGTTACTACTGTAATGTTAATTCTGCACATTGTGATGTTGATACTGACAGGTTTGCTGTTACTGAAGTGGATGTTGATTCTGCACATTGTAGTGTTGATACTGGTTGGTTTGTTGTTATTGATGTAGATGCTGATTCTTCACATTGTGATGTTGATACTGATAGGTTCATTATTATTGAAGTGGATGTTGTTTCTGCACATGGTGGCAATTTTACTGATGCTACTGGCTTTATAAATAGTGTTAAAACTGCCTGTAATGTTTTACGCCTCCTTGGAAGATCCATTTATTTTATCTAAAAAATATTGGCAATTTTGTGTTGTGCATAATTTAAGAAATTGTATGTGCATAAAGCTATAAAAATAATTATTAGGTTCAAAACATGTCTCGATAGGACTAAGCCTTATAGTAGGTATATATTTAAATTCTAGGTCTTTAGTATAGTTGGTAAATTGTTAAAAAATTCTATAACATTTATAGTGGTAATTATTAATTGTGATTTAATATCCTGCTTGGTACCTATAAGTCATTCCACTTTTCCTTAACGGTGTATAGTCAATAATGTTTTCTGGTGTGGTCTTGGAGTGCTTTTGACTGCTACTGTAATAAATATTGAAAAAACACACGGACAGAGCGCAGGCAAATTTAGGAGTATAAAAACAAAAACTCTTGTTTACATCCTTCCAAAATAGCTGACTTACATAAAATATAAAGAGAATCATAAACCTTATTTAAAAGGTGGTGGGTCTAGCAGTGCATTGCATTGTAATATTACATATATAGAATCATATAACAGTTTAAAAATTGATCTATAGAAAGAAAGAACTCACCTTATCATGAACATATAGTGGGAGTAAAATGACAGTAAATGGCTTTCGTCAAGTGGTATAATCCTCTCTGCCTGGGCATCCTTTACTGCGCATGTCACAAGTGTTTTAGTGAGTTACATTCAAAATTTAATAAACTACTTTTTGTTTATGTTATACCAATTAGTATAGCATAAAATCGTAGTTAATAAGCCATATTTTAATAGTATGCAAGTTTTAAGTTCTTAATTTTATAAGGCAATATTTAAAAGATGCTGAATTTTCTCTAGTATGAGACTTGTGACATTGTTTCTCTAAGCATCCTCTTTTCTCTAATTTAGTAGCCACCCTTCCAATAAGTATGAAATTAAATGTAACTTACTATAATGTCGTCACCTCTTGGAAAAACCAAATTTTTATTAGCTTTCAATCTTGTTTGGTTACAGAGCCATCAAATAGAAAATTAGACTCCTCCTGCCACGGCCTCCTGTCGCTTCCTCTCTTTCAGTAGTTGTCAGTAGTTCTCTCTTATGTTTACAACTATATTAGTTATAACCAACAGTAAGCCAAAGTTTTCATCTATCAAATGACATACTATATTACATTGTTTTATGCACAAAGAAAAGTAAATTATGTTCTGAATGGGAATGGGAATGCTATTGAGTAGTTGGATAAAATTTTAATGGTTCTTTTTGCAGAGATAGAAAGGCAGAAAAATTGTGATAGTTACGAGACATTGTCTACTTTGTGTGTATTATTATTCTATGTTCTTTGTTGCGTTAATTTATTAAATATAAATTATTTAGTGCACTACTACCAAGTTTTGTGAAGATGCACTTAATAGATTAAAAGTTCATAGTATCTAAATGATAGCAAGTGGTTACGTGGTTGGTCAAATTGACCAAGCACGTGTTGAGAGAGATAACATGTGGTTAATAATCATATTCATATGTATCAAATCAGGTACAAATGAGGATATATAGGCATAGCTGTATATGTACAATTATATTTAAATTTTGTGTATGCATGTCAGTAAGTCACCAATTAAATATTCAAAACAACGTTCTATTCCAGTGCATGATTCATACGTGCGTATACACAATGTACACTGAGTGGTCACAAGTAAATAGACACCTAATTTTTCATCATTTAACTGATTTATGCTAACTAATTTGTGTTCACAGAGCACCATAATAAATGAAAATGGTCCGCACACTAATTATCTTGTGCTTTCTAGGCATGTTGTAACCTTGAGTAACAAAATCTGACAATTTGAGAGGGAGGAAGGGTAGTTGGTTAAGCAGATGGTGGAATAAGTCAGCGGCAAATTTCACAGAACTTGGGAATTCCGCTTTCGGCAGTCAACATAATCATCATGCAGTTCAAGAAACACGGCAAGGAAATAACTGAGCAGCGTCCAGGTCATCCTGGTGCATTGAGGAGGACAAAAAGGGCTGTCAAGAGGAGCATCGAAATGGATACCAGACTAACGACTGCAGAAGTGGCCAACGTTGGTGGGATGAGCCCGAAATCTGTTCAACGGATTCTCCACAGATTGGTTTATCATTGCAGAGCAGCTAGATGGAAGCCCTTAATAAGACCTGCCAACGTAGTCAGACAAAGAAGTGGACAAGTGATATGATGACCAAGCCTCTAGACTTTTGGAAGACCGTATTGTTCTCAGACGAATCAAGATTCGCTCAATTTTCCGAGGGTGGAAGGATATGGGTCTGGAGAATGCCTCACCAAGAGTTTTGGCTCAACAGATTGCAGCCAACTGTGAAGCATGGTGGTTTCAGCGCGATGGTTTGGGGAGCTGTTTGGGTTGGTGGGAGATCGAGCTTAGTGGAGTGCGTTGGCAACATAAATTTTGTAAAATATGTCGAAATATTGGAGGAAGGACTCTTGCCACTTTATTCCTCGGGTTTCGTGGACAAGAACACATTGTTGTTCCAGGAAGATGGAGCACCGTGTCACACTGCTAAAAACACCCAAAAGTTGCAGGAAGAAAATGGTATCCAGAAGTTGCCCTGGCCAAGTCAATCTCCTGACATGAACCCCATCGAAAACCTCTGGGCCATACTCGACCGGCAAGTCAAGAAACAACCAAAAAAAACCAATTTACGAAGAGCGATCTACTCCAAGTTTTGAAGCAAGAATGGGC